TGTCCATGTGGATATTAATATATTCATTCAGTGACACATACTACGTCTGGGCCGCCTGTGGTTATAAAGGAGAAATAAAGACAATAATACTTATATTTTCTGTTCCAAAAACTCAAAATTTTAATGAAGAAGAGAAAATGCACAATGAAATTTCAAAAGAACCGGCCGCGCGCCTGAGCGGGAAGCTCTCTTATAATTGGCTAATCATGTTAGTAACCATGGCGACACCAATATTCTCACACGTGAGAGATGAAAATAGTATCTTCACTGCAAGCGATGAAGACATGATTTTTTCGTAAAAGGAAAAATCCTGGTATTTCATCAGTATCTATATAATAAAGGCGTATTTTTACCCCCTAAAACATTTTCACCTGTTCGGATTTCCTAGCTGAAAGTCTAATGATCCGAAAATTATAGAGATCAAAACTCACCTTTTCGAAAATTTCGACAGAAAAAAGACTCCCGAAAATTCTAGGTGACCTTTTTAGGGTAAAAATCCGTTAAAAATGGGCAATTATACCATTGTTTAGATGTTCGAAAATCCTAAGAGGGGCATGTAAGCAAGAAATTTTACAAAAAATGTTCCGAAAATTCTAGATCTCAAATCGTCTTCCAAACAGATATTTTCCCAAAAACTGACGTTGGGTGCCCATGTACAATTTGAAATTCAATCGGAACCACCAGACTGAATTATTTTGTTTAACTGACGTGTGAATTGCTTCAGTGTGCTATTGATATGCGCAATCGTAGCTTTTCACAAAAATTGCGAAAATAATTGGCCGAAATTAAACAAAAAATTCCTACATAACAATTATCTTACGGCGAAAAAAAAAAATGTTAAAACTGCAGTTAATGTCTTGCATCCATTATAAACATGTTGCTCTAAGGAAATGTTTTCAGCTAAAACCCCTTCCCTACCCCAATTTCCCATATTCTTGGTATCATAGGGCAAGTAATGAGTTTCCACAGTAACTGATACAATTTTTAATTAGTGGTGTACGTATTCAGTGCCAATAACGTAACACTTTTCTACTCCTTACAGATACTTCGAAATGATCGTACTACAACTAACTGAAGGAAAAGATCCTGGCAGCTCTGCGAATAGAATTTACGAAATAATCGATCGAAAATACGAGGACCAGGTGGAAGGCCAGCCATACATTACTGCGGAATTTGCGCGAGATGAGTCAAGAACGGTATTCACTGTCGGAGATGGGAAGTACTATTCAAGATCTGCTATCACTGAAGCTAAACGAAAACGAAAAGATACAGCAGGTGAGCTAACAACAGATACATTAAACCTCTGTGTACATAGATCCTCCAAATTCATCCCCCACTGTAGTGTTTTAAGGGGCAAAGTAGCCTGCAATAATGCCCTCATTTTGTCACTTTGTCTCTTGCGACAAGAATGCTCTACTCTAGAAGTAGTTTACACATGGTCTTGCGATAGTCCGTATTTTTTCCAGTGATCACAAGGATCCACAGTCACCGCAGTAATCATCGGCACCAGCAAGCTACCTTCATTTTGGAATTATATTGACATTTATTTTTAATTACCATGATGAAAGTTGATAGTGAAGTCATGTGGAACCTTCAGTAAGAATCCCGATACAATAGATGCAAAGAAGAGATTATGTCTTTTATTTTCCTTGTTGTTGTTGTCTTTGTGCACCCCATTTATGACTGTTTGAATGGCCAATTGACGATCTGCAAACAATAAATGAAAAGAAGAGATTACTGTCTTTTCTGTTTGTTCCTATTTTTGTTTTTTTGTTTGTTGTTGTTATTTTTTTTTTCGCACCCGCAAATCTCTGTTGGAATGGCCAAGCGCGCGACGTTTCCAAACAATATATGCAAATAAGAGATCATCACCTTTCATTTTTTTCTTTTTGCGCACCCTGCAAATGTCTTCTAGAATGGACAAGTGACCTTTTTAATCAATAGATGCAAAGAGAAGATTATCGTCTTGTTTTTGTTTTTGTTTTTATTTTTTGCGTACCCCGCAAACGTATGTTTAAATGGCGAAGTGACGTTTTCATACAATATATGCAAAAAAGAAATTATCGTCTTGTATTTTTTGTTGTGTTTTTGTCTTTTGTTGCGCACCTCGCAATTGTCTGCTGAAATGGCCAGTGAATTTTTCTAAAAAATAGATGCAAAGAAGAGATCATTGTCTTTTAGTTTTGTCTACTTTTTTTGCGTACCCCGCAGATCTCTGTTGGGATGGCAAAGTGACGTTTTTAAAGAATAGATACAAGATACAAGGAAGAGATCATTTATCGCTTTTTTAAAATGTTTTCATTAAAAACCCTCTCCATTGCGTAGAAACAGTAAAAACAGTGTTATAGAAGCTTTACGAATTTTAACCCAGTTTTTCAAATTTGTCTCTGTCCTTAGCAGTCATTATTACTTGAAGTCACTGATATTTTAATTTTGTTTCTTTTTAGGCTTTACTAAGTACCTGAACGGAAAGCTTGAGGGTAATACAGACTATGTAGTCTTTCAGCGTTCTTTTGATAAGGATAGTGGTTATGAAGACCAAGGTTTCGTTCAATTTACCACCAAAGCATTTCAGTTCGATGGGACCGAATCCTCGAAGTTAAAAACCAAGTCAAAGTTCCCGACAGTCAATGCTATTATGGTTGGAGTGGTACTGTTTGTGGTACTTGGCATAACTGCAACATGTATTGTTTGGTGTCGATGTCACCAAGGTAGGGAGTTTGCATTTGTAAAGGCATTACATTTTATGAAGACATATTTTACAAATATTCTTTTCAATCTCGGTGAGCCGTGGCCTTAGGAATATTTAAGCTATCAATCTAGAATTAAAGGAATAATTTGGTAAGTATACATACTTCAACAGTTGATTGAGGCCATTGTTTTCACTTTAATTGGCAATATTATTTCGTGCTCGGTGTTGAAAACATTTTTTGGTCTTCTTCGTTTTTGTTGTTTTAAACTGCTAGTAATGGGTAAACTGTGTATGTTACTTCTTATGTCAAATCCGAAATGACAATGGTACAACTGACTATCGACGATGCTTTGGTCTCATTCACAAGAAGAGGTATTGGGTATCTAAACGAAACATTCTCACAGAAGGATTCTTGAACTAACAATGTTGCATCATAGAACCCTACCAATGACTTAAACTTGCAAAACCTCTCTATAAACGTTTGGTGGGTTATATTTTTACATAGGGTATGAGATGAGGCAAAGAAATGATTTTTCCTCACAAGATATTATGGAGATGTCTGCAAATATCAACAGATCGGCAGAACCAAGTGTTAAAAAGCATATGGAGTCAAATGATGACATAACCAGTGCTTTCACTGGCAATTGCTATGATAACGACGTTAATGTGTCGGAAGAGGGTTTTTACTAAAATATTCGAGTTTAGTTATTAGATCGCGAGGAACCTTAGTTGTTACTTTTTTGCGTTAGAGCAACTCACGATAACATTTGAGACACTTTTAAACAGCTAACAACAAGAAACACCCCCTTTGTAGGTGACGGTCTTTCTTCTATGCCTTTGACGTGAGCCGCAACCTTCCTAACTAGTCTGTTATAATATAATAGAGAACCTAAACAAAAGCATTTTCCGCGACGGACGTCGACTAGAAGTTAGCGTTCTTAGGGCAGTGGTTTTATCTGAATTTTCCGGCAAATCGTCTCTATAAGGGCAAAGACATTTAGCAATACAAACTTGAAAGAGTCAAGGCATTTCAAAAGGGAAAAGAAATCACTTCTAGATGACATGCGTTGCTCAAAAGACCTTTGCTTAAGCTCCCTAATAACAACATAATCCAAGAACCGTGTGCAATGTCGGCCAATATATTGAGACCGTGCTAGAAAAAGAGGTTCTACGTAAAGTCAGTCTGGCTTTTTAAACCGATTTTTGCATTAGAAAATAGTTTCATGTTTCTTAGGTCTAAAAGTAGCTAGATACTACTGTTTAACACCCTACAATATTGCCTTGTGGTTTGTAGTTGCTCCGAACTTGAGCTTAAAGCGTCGGTGTATTTCATCAACATTTCAGTTAAATAAGTGTATCTTAATTTCCTTTGGTTCGAGTTTGTAGTTGCTCCGAACTTGAGCTTAAAGCGTCGGTGTATTTCATCAACATTTCAGTTAAATAAGTGTATCTTAATTTCCTTTGGTTCGAATAGAAAAGCAAATACATTATAGATAGTGAGTGCATCAGGCCGCTATTTTAAAGACATTTTTCATTTTATCTTCTAATGAGTGGTTAAATCACTAATGATGAATGATTACCTTAATTCACTTGAAAAGGGTACCCTCATAATTCTTCGCCATTTAGAGAAATAATAAGGCTGTCAGAGTTATGAACGATAAATAACCAATTAGTTGGTAGTTAGGGTTTACATTTCATGATTTTGATACATTTTCTGGTAGATCAAGGAGTGGTCTTAGTTACATTTGGCCATTAGTATGTAAATTAAAATATGTTTGTGTGATGCAATAAATAAACAAGCAGAACATGCCAAAAAGCATTATATAGTGCACAACCCTCTTTTGTTTTCTCGTTTTCTCAATCAAAACCGTTACAATTTTAAACTGCTCCCACAAGAACTATTTTCGTCTTTTTTTCTTTGTTGGACAAAAAGGAGTAACCACACCCCAGTTTTCGTAAGGTAGATAGCGCTCTTTGTTGGAGGTATCTCTATTCATATGGAACACACCATACCAATTGCTACTTCTAAACAATAATTATTGTTGGATGAGGTTTTTGTGATATCCGGATTAATCAAGGTCGAGGTAAGTGTTATCAGCTGAGCTGAAGGCCAAAGCTGATGACACTTACCAAGACCTTGATTATTCCGGATATCACAAAAACCAAATCTAATAATTGTTTTATTATACATTGTTTTGAAATAAATAACGACAAATGCACTGTCGCATGGAACCAATTTGACATTGCTCTTGGAAATCATGCATTGCGCGCACAACCTACAGATACTAGTTAGTTATCTGCTAGCAGATAACTAACTAATCTGTAGGTTGCACTGATTTCCAAAACTGGCTCTTAGCCAATGAGAAGAAAGATAGTGAGTACAGTGTAAAACAATAATAATTATCCACTGGATACTTAGTCAGTCAATCCTTTGAATAGTGCTGTTATTGCAATAATTTATGGTCAAGACCGATCAGCAGCAAAATTGCCAAAAATTGCAAATGTTGGTTGAGTCCTATAAAAATACCATGATCATGAAAATGATAATTATCAATCATGTGAAAGAAGCTGAACACCCTCCAAGATATGCTTGATGGGCCATTTTCACAATGACAATATTTGACTACAACTGCCAGAATTCACTTCGTTTTGGCTTTCTTATTTACATTTGTAAAGAAAAAAACAAACAAACAAACAAACAAGTATAGCCCTGATTTCCACAAGGAAACAACAAACTGAAGGATTCTGGTAGTTGCAGTAAAATGACATCATCATACAATTATTGTCCTTTTCTTCTTAGGTAAATGGGGAGACTTAAAGATAAATAGGAAAATTCCAATAAATATTTCTCTTAAAAACAGCACTAGTGCAGTCCAGAATTTACATGTATGTGCCCTTCCATATGTCAACTTTGATAACTTTATTAGTTGATTAAATAGTCATGCAGTCAAATTATCAGAGCAAATGTAACGTAACTTACAACTGTAGTGCCAGCATCTTCCCTTCCTTTGCGCTTAAAGCGTGGGGTAGTCTGAAACCTCTCTTTCAAAAGCTAGAGCCAAAACCATTAAAAAATATAAATAATAGAGTGATTTAAATACATGTTTTTTAAAAAATGGCATTAATATGTTTTCAGTAAATTCTTTCTACTAAGGATTGAAATACACGTGAGATTGCAACAAAGGCAAACTTATTAACTATAATAACAAATACATTAGATAAGATGATATAAGATAGTACAAAAATATACTACCCATATACCTTCGACTAAGGCTTACAAACAAAAAGCGCCTAGGAACGCCCCTGGTCGTGTTGATGGGAAAAAAACTGACTAGTGCTTCCTGTCCTTTATTGAATTAAGGAAGAGTCTTGTTAAGGATATAGCTACTCGTTTACTGATGATGCTTTTGGGCCTTGTTAGACCATACTGCTCATAGGACATAACGTTCATTACCTTTTTACAAATGGTTTCCTATTGGAAAGTAAACGGAACACGACGTTTTGGGTTTTTCAGCGCGGAAAATTTCCGGGAGCAACGGTACATCCAAAAAGGCAGTCCTGTTTTTCGGCACGGAAATTCGCGTTCCATTTCTTTAAATCCAGTTCTTTGACATCAGTTTCAAGCTTTCGCGGCCGTTTTTAGGTAAATGGAACTGATCAGTACAAATAGTAAACGGAATCGAGAGACGAAATTTACCGGAGCTGAATTTTGCTTACCATTTGCCTAAACTATGATGAGCCGACCAGTTTGCCCATGGTAAACAACCAACCAACAACATGCTTTCATTTAGTATAGTTTACTGATTGAATAAAAATTAGTTTCTGTGATGAATACAATAAACGAGCAGAGCATAAACAAACGAATGGATATGGTCTACCGTATAAGACATTTTCATCTATAATTTCATCAGGCATAACTAAATTGTCAGAAACTGAGAAAAACAAACACTGAAACAAACCAATAAATCTAATGAGCACACATACAAGGCTAAACGAAAAAGGCAAACCACTTCATCAAAAATACCTTTGTTTCGCCCTACATTTCGTCAGCCTTTCTAAACTAGGTTTAAATCCTTGTGCTTTACTTTTTTTTTTTTCGAGCATCTCGGTTTTCCACCTTCACTTTTCAAGTTGCACAGTTATCTGGGGAAGGTCAAACCCCCAGAAGGTCATGAATTCTTTGCTTTGCGATGTATTTCGTCTCTGCATTTGATTTTACTCAAGTCAAACCACAAAACAGCGCGTGTTATGTAAATTTTTACATAGGGCAAAACATGTTTATAATTCCACTTAGGGTATAAGATCTGAATATACCAGTTTTCGCACTTTTTCACACACATGGAATGTGGTTCTCTCGACAACAAGAAAGTAGAAAGAAATAATAATCAAAAACTATTGTGCCTTAAACAAGCTGAAGGAAAAGCAAGCAACTCGGAATATTAAAACCTTACATGGCGTTAGATACACTACTAAGTTGCCAGATACTAAATTACAGAACAGTGTTACATATTTTAAAAAACGCCTACAAGGAACTGACACACCGTTTTTTTTGTTTTTGTTTTTTTTTTGACTTTTCTAGAAAACCACGCTAACATGATATAGATATCAGGTTTATTCACCTCTGATTCCTTTCGTGGGCTATTCCTTCATGTGATAACTAGAGTTGCGTAAATCAAATCTACCCCCTGTTCAGGGCGATAACCGTTTAATACAAATTTGCCACTTTTTAATTTCTAAACTCAACTGCAGTCACAAAACACTGATCAACCTCCTAGCTTTTGCTAACACAGGGTTACCACCGTTTTCGTATTAAGAGACACTTAAATGTTCAGTTTAGTTCTTTCTTTAATATTTTAAGTAATCTCATTACATTGGTTAAAAGTGATTTGTAAAACTCATCTCCTCACCAAATGATATGTTTCTTTAAGCATAAGAAAATGAATATTGTCATATGTAAAAAGAAAAAAAAATGAATGTTATGTTCAGGGGTAAGTGCTAATAGCGAGATCTTAATTACTCGACAATACTAGCAAATGGCAAAACGGAGCAAATCGTTAACTCAATTTATTCAGCTTCTTGTTTGATTAACAAGAGTTTGCGTATTGCATCTCGCTCAATGTCAAGTTCAAAGTTAAGTGTGATGTCAATAAAAATAATGACCCTAAACTAGGATTTTGACATCGTTGTTGTGTTTTGAAAGAGGGATATAGATCTCTGCATGATGATGACGATCTCTGGATGTTCTGTTATTTTGTGGCGCCTCTGCATATTTTCACCAAAAAAATGTTTGTTTTGATGAGCTTGTTACGGCTGTGAGAATAAACGCCTCCTCTTTTAAACGCCTCCTTCTCATTAAAGGCCCCCTCTTGGCCCCCTAAACTTGAATAAACGTCCTGGGCATCTATTAGATCATTAACGATAGTGTCAATGGCAGTTTATTTAGCTTATATCGGGGAGTTTATAGTTGGAAAACACACCTCTTGGCTCTGGACTGTTCACAGTCCTCTATTTTTCTGTTGAGATCGCCGGCATCGGGCACGTTCCCTTACGGGCGGCCTGGTGTGAAATGAGTCGAGCTTAGCCTGCTGGGAATGAGTATCAAAAACGTGTAGTCTCCCTACCCCCACCGCTAAAAACATCAGCGCTCACCCTTTCGGTACATTTGAAAGCAAAGTAGCCGACACTTGGTAAGCGCTCGCTCTCGACAATCTTATGAAAAAACTGGGGACGGTGAACAGTCTATCCTGGCTGTCAAGAATTTCGATACAGTATGTTTTAGTGTGTATTTCGGAATTTACGGTAATCAACAAAGCTTCCACAGCACAGGTTTCAATTAATTCTCCTCTAATAAACATAGTAATCTCCAATAGTATTCATAAAAGAACAACGTTAAAAGACGCTTTTGTACCCTCAGCACTGCTGCCTGACAATTAAAAAATTTGTAGCTCTGGGGCGATTCAAACAATTCCCCGCCTTTTGAGTTTCTGTCGCGTTGTAGTATTTGGAAAGATTCAGTTAAACGTTCGTCGATAACCTCTGATACTTTTTGGCCGCATGGTGATGCTAAGGGACATGTTAAATCACTTACAAATGAGAGGTCAAAACATTTACCAAATCAGTGTTGCAATTAAAATTGTTCAAGTTTAATTGACTGGTGAAATATGAAATAGTTAAGTATTTTCCCGTTATTTTCCCTTTTTCGGTGTGAAATTCTTTCCAAAGACTTAAAAAAAAATTTTGTGCTTAAAAGTGGCTTGACCCTGTGCCACTTATGTGCTCATACACGGTAACCACAAAAAGTGACTGTCACAAAATTTCGCCATACTTGAATTGTCTAAGGAAAAATCAAACAGCAGTTTCTGGAAAGCAATAAAGCAATAGTAGAGAACACCAGGTGTATACGCCCCAGGTACAAGATTCGAGGAGGAATCGTGATCTTTGCTGATTTCATAAAATATAATTAATAAGATAATCCGTTACGCAATGGTGCATCTCTTGAGATATACGTGAGGAAAAACTTGTCAAACTAGTATCAGGAACTAGTACCGTGGTATGTGCCATCATAAGACGTACAACTTCGCGGATGCTATCTATTGTTCTGCATACCAAGATTTTTAAAATGCAGGCTAAGGCACTGGACCGATTATCCCTCTACTTATAACTGGGGAACAATGGCTAAACATCCGATTCTTGTTCACGCTAAAATACATTCAACCAAACAGCAATCACGACCTCAGAAGAGGCTTCTTGCGCCTTTTCAGTGTTAATGTTACCTAAGCAAACGTGGCGAAACGCGATGCTCGTGTGGGTTATGTCTTTAAGAAGTTTATTGGTGGTAGAACAGTAAATTCAAAATTTTACTTTGTTTAAAAAAAATTCTTCACCACTCTTAGCTTAATTCTGTGGGGCGAAGTTCACTACTCAGGATTTAAGGACTAATAAATTCACGGCTGACTATTGGTGGACTATCAAATCCTTTCTAAAATGCCATTTCGTTTGAGGTCGCAAAAAAGGGCCCTGTCATAAAGCAAGTTTAGTACTTTGATGTGAACATGAAATTAAACTCGCATTGTAATGATAAATAAAAGAGGCCATGCTCAGGGTTTTCCCCAGACGTCTCTGAAAACAGCGCACTCGCTTCGGCCCGGCCACTTCAAATTATAACGATTTTGTGAATTGTTTTAGGTCATAACAAAGGATTCTAGCTCAGTTCTAAATAGACAGCCAGGGAGAACAGAAATCCAGGGAATAACCATTGAAGATAATGTAGGCCAGTTATGCATTTTTTTGAAACTGGATGTGAAAATC